ATGTTCCATCTTGTTTTCTATTTCTATTCACAACGTCCTGCTCACATAATTTTGAAGAAAATACCAGACATTATTTTAGTATCGTTAAATATAAATGATCAAGTATGTATAATTTTTAAAAATTATTTTTAAACTGGAATTCAAATAAGTTAACATATTGCCATTTGGTTGATTTGGTTTTGAGTCTCATGGATTATCCTTTTATCTCTTTTTTGATAATGCAACTTATTTCTGTTAGAAATGGAACTATTTGACTTACAGAATTCCCATAGTTTGTATTTTATTTTTTACAACCCTATTGTGTTCAATATGTTCATCTGTCCCCACTTTTGCCTATTATGTTAGTTCTAGAGGTATGCTCAGATTCAAATTATATTTTTCTTGAGAATACTGATCTAGTGATGTGGTATCCTTCCATTAGGAGGCATAAAATATCTGGCAATCTCTTAATTTTACTCTTCTTTGTAGTGATGTTAACAGCTACTACTAATCTTCACCCTCATCTATTTGTTACTTAGGGATTGCAAAATTGTGACTTTTTATTATTCATTTTTCATTTTAGCTAGAATATTCCTATGAAGAGGAATGTTTCTTTATCAACTAGTTGATGAATTTTAGGATTAGTTGGTACAGGAAAAGCAGAGCAAATTTGTAATTCTATTCCTTTATATTTCATTTTTAATTTTTATTGACATATAATAATTGTACATATTTATGAGGTACATAATGATGTTTTGATACACATAATTTATAGGGATCAGATCAGTTCAGTCAGCATATCCATCGTTTCAAACATTGATCATTTCTTTAAAAAATGCTTTACTAGCATTATTTGCCAAGTAATTTTCTAAGTTCAGTAACATTCAGCAATATTTATCAAGAAATATTTGTTGTTATTATAAACCCATGGATAGCAACATATACTTGTCCCTTCTTGGCAGTAGTGGTTTCTTCAAGTTGGCTGAGTCCTTTTTATGAGACTCAAAGTAGCTTTCTTATGTTTTGTTATAACAAGGTATTGCAGGATAATCTTGTGTATTTCCTTTCCTAGATCTGAAATCAGCCATTTTTTTTTCCCCCAAGGAGTTAAGGCTCTTTTATGGGACACAAAACTGCAATACAATGGCTGGGGATAGTCATTGTTACTGGGTCAGTCATTGTTTTTAGATCTTTTCAGTAGACAAAATTAGGAAATGTCAATTTTATTTTTATAAGAGGCATCTTCTAAGTTTTTACTGATACTTTTGATTCAGATGCAGTATTACAGGGTTTTAACTTAAAATTATCATTTTATCATCCATATCTCATTTTTTCCATGCTAAAAAATGCCAGTTCTCAGTAATATCAATATTTAATTTATTCTTCAATATATTAAATAATATTTTCATAATAACAGTACTAATACTACCAATGATATGATTTATTGGATGCTATTTATATATGTTTGCTGTTATTTTTTTCTAAGGTTATATCTCACTAAGGGTGTTTAGTCAAATTACTGCATTTAGCATCACTTAATATTATCTCAGTGTGATTACACCACCAACTGCTTACAGTTAGACTCTTTTGTTTTATTTTACTACTGCTTTTTAAGAATTAATTTATAAAGTAAATTTTAATTTTCCTTTGTGATCACATGGATTCTTTATAGTGTTCCAAAATACAATTCCACAGAGCAAGATCAAGTCAGAGAAATAGTACTCTATGCCCATCCCTTCTATTCTGTTCTCTCTCTTCCTCTAAAAGTAATCACTAAAAAAAATTGCCCTATCTTTCTACTGCTGTTTTATATAAATTTTCTGATCTATATACTTACCTATCATCTACCTATCTACTCATCTATTCATTTCCTCTTCTTACATCTATCCGGATATCCATCATTTCATCTTCTTAGATAAATGGTAACACACTAAATACACTTTTTTCTAACTTACATTTTTGCACTCAATATATCCCCTGATAGGCCTGGCTCTGTCTCATGTTGAATTGTAATCCAAATTGTAATCCCCAAATGTTGGGGGAAGGACCTCACTGGAAGTGATTAGATCGTGAGGGCGATTCCCTCATGCTGATTTTGTGATAGTGAGTGAGTTCTCAGGAGATCTGATGGTTTTATGAGGGGCTTTTTCCTACCTTGCTCTGCACTTCTCTCCCCTGCCACCATGGGAAGAAAGATGTGTTTGCCTCTTCTACTGTGATTGTAAGATTCCAGAGGCCTCCCCAGCCATGAAGAAGTGTGAGTCAGTTAAACGTCTTTCCTTTACAAACTACCCAGTCTCGGGGATGTCCTTCTAGCAGCATGAGAATGGACTAATACATCCCCTTAAAAGCGTATACTGTCATCTGTCTTTTGCTTTTTACAACTTCAGAGAGTTCCATTGCTTAAATGTACCTTGATCTATTCAACAAGTCCCTTCTTAATAGATATTTTTGTATTTTTATTCTTTTGCTATTACAAATATGTTGCAATAAGTATTGTTGCATATAAATATTTTCATATCTTTGCCTGTGTATCCTTGGTATAAAGTTCCAGAAGAGAAATTGTTTGGTCAAAGATCAAATACATTGTAATTTTTCTAGATAATTCCAAATTTGCCATATCCCAGGAGTTGTATGATTTTATCTTCTCATTAAAATGTGAATGTTCCTGTTTTTCTACAACCATATCAACAGAATGTGTTGTCAAATGTGAATTTTTATAAAACTGATGAAAAACTCTATGAAAAATACAGGTAAAAAACTGTATTTCTATTAGTCTTAATAAATTGAGGTATACTTTTCTTCAGTAAATGGTATAGATTTTCAGTACCTTCTTCAAGGAGTTTTGGCAAATGTCTGCCTGTATGTTACTCACATTACTATCACTGTATAGAATGTTGACCTCACTCTCCAAAGTTTCTCTTGTGCGCTCTCTCAGTCAATGTCTTGCTCCCTGGAGACAACCAATATTCTGATTTCTATCAGTGTATTTTAGTTTTGCAAGTTCATAACCTTCATATAAATTGAATCATAATATATATAGTCTTTTATGTTTACTTTTGATAAGAGCCATATTTTTAATATTTTTCCATGTTGTTGCATGTTCGTGTGTCAGTTTTTTTTTTTTTGTTGTTGTTGCTAAGTAATCCTCCCCTGTGTAAATATGTCACTGTTATTTATTATCCCATTAATAAGGATTTGGGTTGTCTCCAAAGTTTTGCTCTTATTAAGAAAGCAGCCATTAACACATTGGTCCAAGTCTTCTTGGAGTTATATTTCTTTTTGTAGATACCCAGGACTGGAGTTGATAGATAAGGTATATAAATGATTAAATTCACAAGAGATTATCAAACAATTTTTCAAAGTACTTGTATCAATTGCTCTTTCTAACAACAATAGAAGAGAGGTCTAGTTGATCCATATCCTCTTTAATATCTGGTTTTAATATTTTTAATCGCAGCCATTCAAGTGGGTATATATTGACATTTTACAGTGACTTGAGTTTGCCTTTCCCTGGTTAATAAATTTTTAAGAATCTGGCTATTTATATATCCTTTCTTGTAAAGTGTTGGTCTAAATATCTTGGAGAGAAATGCTGATTGTGGATGTCTTATTGTATTGTAAATATCAATTCTTTGTCACACACATTTTATCACTGGTGTGTTTTGACCTTAACAAATTAAAGTTTTTGTCTGATGAAAACATGTTTAATGATTTTTGCCTTCTAAAAAACATTGCCTGACTACCATGATGAAACCCTGTCTCTACCAAAAATATAAAAATTGCCCGGTGTGGTGGCGCATGCCTTGTGATCTCAGCTACTTGAGAGGCTGAGGTAGGAGAATTGCTTGAAACGGGGAGGTAGAGATTGCAGTGAGCCAAGATCACACCATTGCACTCCAGCCTTGGCAATAAGAGTAAAACTCGGTCTCAAAAAAAAAAAAAAAAAAAAAAAAAAACAACTTTGACTAACTAAATTGCTATTAGTTTTCTATATTCTTTGTTTTCTTTGAGGATTTTTATAATTATAGCTTTTATGTTTATTGGAGATCCTCTTTATTTAATTTTTGTTTATGATTTGAGGTATTGGTCAAGTTTTTTCCCCCTCATGCATTCTCAGTAAGGAACTATTTGATGAAAATATTATCCAATATCCATTGGATTTCACTGCCAATTTGTGGAAAATCATGTGGGTTTATTACTAGATTATTCTGTTCAGCTGATTAACTTGTCTGCCTTTATTCTAATAGCACCCTGTCTTCATTACTATGGTTTTGTAATTAGTCTTACAGTCAGGTAGCATAAGTCATCTAATTTTATTCCTTTTGCTTTCATGAGTTTATTTTGGCTATTTTAGTTCTTTTACATATTTGAAATACATTTTGGTGTTAATTTTCAGTTTCTACCAGAAAAGTTTCTGGAGATTTAATACATATAACATTGAATCTGTAGGTAAAACTGGAAGAATTAATTTATTTACCATATTGTATATTCCTATCATTGGCATGATAAATCCGTCTTTTGGGTCTTGTTTAGTTCTTCTCAGCAATGTTTTATAGTTTGTATTGTATAGTTTGATATTTTATGGGTTTTGTTTATTTCTTGTTATTTTATGCTACTGAAACTATATCAATTTATTAGAAATTTATTTTTCAATTATTTATTGTTTATATATTGTTTATATGGTTATTTTTGTATTGCTAAAATAGTTTCTGGTATAGTTACTTACTAGATTTAGTAGTCTTTTTGTAGATTAATTAGAACTTTGTATAAACACAATCATAATGTGTGCAAACAAAGATATTTTTATTACTTTCAAACCTTTTGTGTTAGTCCATTTTCACACTGCTGATAAAGACATACCCAAGACTGAAAAGAAAAAGAGGTTTAATTGGCCTTACAGTTCCACATGTCTGGGAAAGCCTCAGAATCATAGTGGGAGGGGAAAGGCACTTTTTACATGGTGGTGGCAAGAGAAAATGAGAAAGAAGCAAAAGTGGAAACCCCCGATAAACCCATTAGATCTCATGAGATTTATTCACTATGCTGAAAACAGCATGGGAAAGACCAGCCCCCATCATTCAATTACCTCCCCAACATGGGGGAATTCTGGGAGATTCAATTCAAGTTGAAATTTGGGTGGGGACACAGCCAAACCATATCACCTGTATACATATAATTTATTTTTCTTGTCTTGGTACACTGGCTACGACCTCTGTTAAAATGTTGAATAGAAGTAGTAATAGCAAACATCTTTGCTTTGTTTTAGGGGAAAGTGCTTCAGCTCAATATATCATCTTAAGTATAATGTCAGCAATATGATATTTTGTGGCTCTTTATAAGTTTGAGGCAAATATATTTAATCCATAATTTGCCTGCTTTTTTAAATTATAAGAAGAAAGATATTAAATTTTGTTAAATACTTTTTCTGCATGTATTGAAATAATTATATAATTTTTTTCCTGCTGTTATTATGTTGAACTACCTAATTAATTTTCAAATATTAGCAAAGTTAAATTCCTGGGATAAATCCCACATGACCATGATGTATTTCCTTTCTGTACATTGATTTATTTTGATAATATTCTGTTAAGAACTGTCTTTTGTTAAAATATCCCTTTCAGGGATTGGTATTAGAGTTCTTATGGGCTTATTTAGTGACTTGGGAATTGCCCAAATATGTATTCATTTTTATGAATAATGTTGAAAATGATTATTGAAATGTGCATCTTTCTATGGTGAATTTCCTTTTAATGTCCTTAGCAAGTAATTTTCTGAATAAAATTTTTATTTTTTTATATATTACAAAGATAAAGTGACTTAACCAGTAATGTTTCTGGGAATCTTGATAATTCAACTTCTTATAATTTGAGAAATTAGCATATACGTTTCTGTTTTTGTATTTATGAGCTGATTATGAATTTATTCATGAGAGATCTTTTAAATAGCAAACATACTGAGTTTTGGAGATCCAAGGCTGGAATGTGATGCTCCTGATATTCCCCATTGGTGATCAACTCTAGTTGATGAATCATCAATTTGCAGATATGTTCACATTTTGTTTTTATATCTTTCTTAACAGTTTTTAAAATGCACAGATAAATACAATGAAAAAATATTACAAAATTAAGGTTCCAGGCACCATTGTATACAAACTTTTAAAATATCTATTAAAGAGAAAAATGTTATTGATCCAAAGAGTGACCAAGGGAAGAGGAATTTGGCATGAGGTGCTAAGTAAATTTGGTTCCAAGTTGTCAAATGTGCATTCTAGAAAGATCTCACTCACAAAACATGGAGAAGAGATTGCAGCAGGGTGAGACTAAAAGCAGTTAAGATGGATCATAGCAATTGCTAGGTGAGAGATGATCAGAAACTGAACTCTTATCATGACAATGGGAATGGAAAGAAAAATAATTAGATGTATGTAGTCAAATGATTTCAGGAGAAATGGCAGGGTGCCATGAAACAAAAGTAAGCTGACAAGTTTTCAAACTGTTGATATCACTGTCTCCCAGAATCTAGTCCAAGTAACAGTGGTCTCACACAATGTTCCATGAAAATATAATTTTCTAGAGAAAATTTGAAAATGCTGGATAATTTGTATCTCTTTTAGAGATTATAGTGGTCCTTTGGGTCCATTAGCTCTTTCTATTAGAGTTTTATATCCCTTCTACCAAGTAAAAGTATAATTAAAGAGGAATTTGGGTATTTAGATTTTCTTTAAGGAAAAGGTGTTTACATACATTTATGTTACAGATAAATAACTTGAGTCCCCTTTGTAATTTCAGTTTGCCTGAATTCTTTTTAAAAAAATAATAATTGTCAAAATGGCTCTTGAAGTGTGAAGTTTAAAATTTTCTTAAAATCTTACTTTAAATGAAAAAGGTTTTGCTGGGTAGTAAAATGGTTTGGCATGAACTTATTTCCTGGACATATGGATTGTAAAATAAGCTGGGGTGTTGAGAATTAAATGAGATAATTTATGCAAAGTCCCTAGCATTATGGGCACATAGTAGGCATTCCATAAATAGTAGCTATAGAATTTAGATTCTGAAATCATTCACTTAAAGGCTGTAGTTACAAATATGAATATGGATGAAATTGTTCAGGAAGAGTGCATGTGAAAAAGAAAAAGGCAAGGATGTAAATCTGGGAAAATCTGGCATGCTAGAGAGGACAGGAAGTTAGATCTGATGACAAAGACTAGAAAGTGATGGTCAGAGAGTTAGAAGGAGAACAGGAATGGGACTACATCCTGGAAAGTTTTAAGAAGGAAAGAAGGAAGGAATGGTCAGGCTGGGAAATGCCTCAGAGACCTCAAAAAGTACAAAGACTGATTGACTTGTCAGGTAGAAGGTTACTGGTGAGCACAGGAAGACTAGACTCATCTTGTATTGGTGGAAATAGTGGAAGAAAAACTTGGAAAAATCAGGTTGAGTTTTCAGGGAATTTTTGTTTCAGAGAAATACCATGAAAGAACTATGACTAGGAGAGGCTAAAAGTTGGTTTGTAAGGCTATGTGATATCTGAGAGAAAGAATTATTGTATACCCCTCAAAACTCTCTGGTAATAGGTAATAGATAATTGGCAACAGGCATTGAACAGCTTAGTTGCCACAATCAAACTTTAAGAGACCTAAGACTTCTTAACAAAAGGATCTCCTTAGATAAATCATTGCAAATCAAAACAACACCATAAAACTGCTGATTTTGAGCTGCTCAAAGACAGAAGCACAATCTTACTCTTCTTTGTATCAAGATACTAGCATAGGACTTGTCCCTTAGGTGGTTATGTGTGATTAAAAACAAAAAACCAAAAAAAACCCCCAAAATTTAAAGTGATTTGGCTTCATATGATACTAGAACCAGAACTGTAATTTTGTGACTTATTCAAAATATTGGTCAGATTTAGGAATAGGACAACAGTTTTAACTAGAAATAGGTATCCAAATTCTTAGAAGTAGATAGAAAATAGTAGGTCTTCCTTGATCAAGGTTATTGTAAACTTTTGCTGTGCTTATGTAGGTTTTAACCTCTTTATTATAAATATCAGGTGTTAGTAGATTTTATGAGTAGGGACAATGAAGTAGTCATGTGAGCTAAAGCACAGAACCAGGCATAAATAAAAATTAAATTTTAAAAATATGCCTTGTCTAACTCAAAGCTTAACAGTCAAGATCAGATCTTTAGGATTGTCTTAACTCATAATGATACAATTTTGTTTAAGATTTTGGTGGACAGAAATGTAGTTATCCTCTTCAAGAAAAGATTTAATACCTGATTAGTTCAAATGTATTTTAAATTTAAAAATATTTAGAGCTAAATATATATTAGAAAATAATTTTAAGAAACTACTGTTTTTTAAAATGACTGATTGGTGAGTTTATATTCCTACCAGCAGTGTGTGAGTTCTAGTTGCTCCACATTCTTGCCAACATTTGATATTGTCAGTTTTTTTTTTTTTTTTTTTTTTTTTTTAATTTTAGTCATTCTAATAGGGTCTAGTGGTATCACTCCTTGGTGTTTTAATTTGCATTTCTCTAATGACAAATAATGTTGAATATCTTTTCATGTACTTATTTTCCAACTGTATCTTTCTTCTTTGGTGAGTTGTCTGCTCACAACTCTTGTGCATTTTTTTTAAGAATTGGAGGTTGGCCAGGCATGGTGGTGCTATCTGTAATTCTAGTACTTTGGAAGGTGGAATGTGCAGATTGCTAGAGTTCAGGAGTTTGACGCCAGCCTGGGCAATATGGCAAAAGCATTTCCCTATCAAAAAAAATACAAAACTTAGCCAGTCATGGCGGCGTGCACCTGTAGTCCCAGCTACTCAGAAGGCTAAGGTAGGAGGAACACTTGAGCTCAGGAGCTCAAGGCTGCAGTAAGTCAAGGTCATGCTAGTGCACTCCAGCCTGGATGACAGAGTAAGACCTTACCTCAAAAAAATAAAAATAAAAGAGGTTTTAAACAATTCAGTTTTGTGTTTTCCACATAGTTCCAATACACATTTGTTTATCAGATGTAAGATTTGAAAATATTGTCTCCATTCTGTGGTTTCTCTTCTTATTCCCTTTTGTAGAGTAGACTTTTAAATTTTGATGAAGTTATATTTATGAATTTAAAATTTTTATTTTATAGATGGTGCTTTTAGTGTCATACCTAAGTTATCTGTACCCATACTATGTAATCCAGCCATTCCAGTACTAGGTATTTATTCAAAATAAATGACAGTTTTTCCTTTGAGGGACTTATACATGAATGTTAATGAATGTTAATAGTACTTTATCTGTGATAACCTCAAACTGTACATAATTCCTATGTTTATAAACCTGTAAATGGATAAACAAATTATAGTACATCCATACAATAGAATACTACTTAATTATAAAAACAAAATAACTATTGATAAATGCTACAATATGTATGAATCTGAAAATATGCTGAGTGAAAGAAGCCAGACCTCCAAAAAGTTATTACCTTATGTTTCTATTTATATAAAATTATGGAAAATGCAAATTAATCTATAATGGAAGAAGGTAGATCAGTGGCTGCTTGGGGACAAGGGGGTGAGTAAGAAGGGGCATGAGACAATTTGGGGAGTGATGAATATGTATTTTGATTGTGGTGATAGCTTCATAGCTATATTTTTTATGTCACAGCTTATTAAATGGTACCTTTTAAAAATGTGCATTTTGTATGACATTGTTTACAAGAACTGTGAATAAATAGCTTGCAATTAAATAGCTTAATTATTCCTTAGAATCATAAAATACAGGACTTCATAAAAGTAATAAACTTTATAGCTATTTACTTGAAGCTCTTCATATTCATTAGAGTGAATATAACTCATCATTGATGGTAAAGGAATAATCACCCATAGTGAAAAAATAATATCTTTCTTCCTATTAACAAGCAGAGAAAGAAAGCAAGCATGAATAAGAGAATAAAGAAAGATGAATTGTAAGTTATGACTTAAAATAAGAAACAAGTAATTACATGGTTAATCAGAGAGGTGTATATGAATCCTTTCAAACTAATATTAAATACAGATTAGGAGCATAGGTACAGATGATTAGAAAATACAAGAGAAAATGAAGATATTTCCTATATAGAATTACGTTTTGTAGAGACTTCACTTAGTACTCACTTAATAAAGGAAGATATAAAGGCAGAGTGAAGTTAAATGAGAAATGGACCATTAACTATAATAAAGTACTTGTAATATACAGAGACAGATTAATGATGACAATGGCAATGTCACTGGTGATAAGTGCAAAAGCAATTACACTTTTATATATTCATTTTTTTTCCCCAAATTCTTTCTAATTGCTTTTCTCTAGTCTGAATTCACAGGATTGTCTATTTTTTAAAAAATTTCTGGTGCATGTCCAAAAGCTCATACTGCAATATTAATAATACTTACAAAAGGATCATTAAAAGCTAGAAAGAACATAGAAAAAACAATTTTTCAGTATTTATTTGTAAAAGTTTTCAGAGATTTATTATTTACTACATCTTGGGTTAGTAACATGTACTCATGAAATGACTCAGTTTCAAGATATTGATTTAGCCATCTCAGCACTGTAGACATATTATGAATTATAAAGTTTTTTTGATTTCCCTGTACTGATTTACATAAATTACAGTATTATTCTTGACTAAATATAAATTGACAAAATGCAATAGAATTTATCAGAAATGAAATGTATCAAATGTTAAACTGCAATGGATTTTTAGATTAACATTTTTATCTTATTACAAAAGTTTAATAAATTTAGAAATTAAAAAAAAATTACAAAAACACATAAATAAAATTTTTTACCTGTACTCCCACCATTTAGAGATAACTAGTGTTAACATTTGTTAAATTCTGTAGTTTTAATGTTATGTCAAGTAACAACTCATTTCGCTTAGAAATATAAATCGTGTGCTTTACTTGGGAGGCAATTTTGTCAACTGCCACAATATATTTGTATTTGTTTACTCATTTAGAGGAACTTATTCCTTTAAAATAATGATATAGCTTTATCTGAGGGGTTTATAATAGCATTACATTAAAACAAATACATGAAAAATAACACCAATAAGTCATTAGCTAAATAATTGTTTTACTTATCTAAAGTATTACAATGAAGTCCTTGAAATGTTTTCAAACATAGGATTCTGAGAAACAGTATTAATAAATATTATTATAATTTATTAATATAACAAATATGTAAAATATGATCTTTGTGTGTGTATATATGTTTACGCATAATCTTGACTGGCTTTCAGAATGGAAGTTGCATACAGTGTGGAGCAACATAACAAAAGTGTGGTTTACTGAAAGCATGTGACTATCATATAAAACCTGCTCTACATACCGTCAGAAACAGCGTGTGAGAGAGAGAGAAAGCTCAAACTGGTCATTCATCTTTCTCTCTGTCATGCCAATTCCTGATGGTTGGAATTGCAGATGATGTTCCTTTTTCCCTGTCTTTTTTTTGTTTTTTCTAAATGTTCCAAATTTAATTTTCATAATAATAATTATAATATATGTAGTAAGCCTTTCCTTGTGTCATTCAAGTAATTGAAAACATGACTTTTTGTGGTTGTATTACATCCCAACCATATCACTACATTGTTATCTTAGGGATTCTCTAGCATTGCCACTTAAATCACTTATTTTGCCATTTTTGTCATATTTCAAATAATGAGATAAAGATTATTAACGTGGATAAAACGTTGTCTTTGATCATTTCATTACCCCTAAAAGTTTTTTTTTCCCTAACCCTCCAGCTGGAAAATGTTTGTTGCTATAGCATAGTTTTAATGAAGAAAATTGTAAAAATATGAAACTCTATTTAAGCCTCTGACCACAACTCAAGTTAGCAGTACTAAAAATGTAGATTATTGGTTATTTGGATGAGAGGTTGTTGAAGAAAGTGCAAATCTGTGCACCCCGCTGATGAAGGGTCAGCTCTATAATAGCTGTAATGATACTGTTCTTCATTGGCTTAGAAACTTGTTAAGTCTTTGGGGAAGAAAATATGCTGGTACAATTTCTGTGGTTTTTGGAAGCCTACAGCTAACAAAATTGCTAGCAAGGAAATTTACATTTGGAAAGGTCACACAAATGAACAAACCTTACAGTTATTTCAAATAGTTAAATGATTTTTGTTCTTACAGATTTGAAGAAGTTAGTGCCATTTTATTGTGGTACTCTCAAATGTTTCACAACTATATGGTAAAGTTATAAAATAAAGATTACTAGATTACCATTCATCAAAATAAAGAGCAAATTGTCCTTGAAAAAGTACCTTAATTTATTCATAGGATATTTTGGTGTTTAATAATTTCTAATGAGTTTGTTGACCCCAATACCTGTATTTAGAATATAATGGAAAAATGTAAATTAACAGGTTTCAATTACAGAAAAAATATGCAATAATTTCTTCTTTTATTGGCTTTCATTTTCATAATTGTAGCACACATATTTAGAAATGTGCTTCATGCTTGATTCCTATCTCCCTGGAATTAGTGGTTAGTAGGTTGTGGCAGAGGTTGTAGCTGCTTTTCAATATTCATTCTTCCTTGCTGAAAAGGTCAGTTTCGACTGGTTACTTTGCCACACACAAAAAGGTAATATTACCCAGTCTCCCTTGTAACTAGGTGTGGCCATGGGACTTAGAGTGGGCGTATAAGACGGTGTTAAGTAGAAATGTGTTGTGTTTGAAGAAGTTCCTTTAATAGGCAGGAGACTACCTTCTTGAGTCTTTCTAACCATCCACCTGGTGAACATGAATGGGGTGGCTACAGCTCTAGCTTGAGAATAACTTGAACTTGAGAATGAAACTGTGTGCAGTAGAGCAATTAAATATGAGCCTAGATCCATGTCATCATGTCACCGCCACACAAGTCTTCTGTTTACCTACAGGATTTTTACTAGACACAAAACTAAACTTCTTTTGTGTTTAAGCTACTAATTTTCCAGGTACTTGTTACCAGCACTAAAATAAGTACTCATATTATGAACATGTTTTCAGAGATGTATTTATATCACTAAATATCTACAAAATATCTTTATAAAATATTGTATTGTACTCCATCATATATTAGAGGCAGAGTAGTAAAAATGTTATGCTCCAACATAAGCCAGAGATCTTGAGATATTAAAAATATTGCTTTGTGTCTAATGATACATTCTTAGATGCTATGTGCTGGGAGAAGCACTGAGTCTATACTCTCATCAATAGCACTTAGATATAGTGCCATAATAAACATATTTAATTTGTTTCATAGGCATTAGATTGTACCTGTTTATCAAAGACTTGGTTTCTCTTCTGGCCCTTGCTATTTGGATGGGTGCTAGAAAGTATAATAACTCCCAGAGCAGGTTCCCATAAAGGTGTGTCTCTGCTTTCACATGTAAGCTTTATTATGTTTGCATGTAGCTTCTCTGATCTATCCATTTATGTAACAAACATCTAAACATGGTCTAAAATATTACAATTTCAGTTTTTATATTATTAACAAATTATGCACAAAACAGAATACCTCCTTTATCCTGAGGTTCACTCATTCCAAAATAGAAGCTATATATTAGAATAATTGTATCAATGGTGTTGAGAAAATATAGTTCTTTGGAACCATGTAGATAGCGTTTCTACAGTTGTGGGCTTATAAATACAGGGCAACCTGCCCTGCCTCTGTCCTAGATTGTGGCAGCCTATTACATTCTTTCTAGGAACAGAACTCCTTTTTACTGTGAGGATCCCTTCTATGTGGAATAGAGTGAGCCCAACTGAAAATATTTAAACTTGTGCATGGCCTATATGATTGGTCTGGGATAGGATATGTGACTCAAGCTGGAAAAATCAGAAGTCTCACCAGGACGTTCCTTATCTTGAGAAAAAAGCTATTTTCCTTAGGGACGGCATGGACTAAGGCTACAAAAACCTGGAGCATCCCATTTTGTCCACCATAGAAGGGAGCTGGCCTGAATGTAAGCCAAAGCAGTGGCCAACACATTAAGAGAAAACAAGAAGTTACAACATTTGAGTGCCGGGATATATTCCTTGAAGTTTTAATAATATGAAAAAGATATTCCTTTTTTACTTAGTTTACTTTGAGTTGACTTTCTGTAACTAAGAGACACCTGCTTATTAATAAGCCTTATTTTTGTCATAGAGAAATTATTAAAGAATACAAGAAGTGAAGTGGAAGAAGGTGGGTGTTCTTTGCTTGGTTGGTGTTGAGACACTTTGTAGTGTTAGACACTTTGTAGTTGAATATTCAAAGACACAGGTCTCTTTGTCTCTTGGAATCCAGTCAACTATCAAATTAGTTGTCTCTTTGTTAGGCACTGTGCAAATAAACAGATGGACAAGAATGCCATGGGACTGAGCTTTTAATTTTATAAAATGTTGTGATTGTGTCTAAACAAGCAATTTAAAACCTGTGCCATGATAGTTAAATGGATTAGCTGGTTTTCACCACTGCCAATAGATGGTGAGGGCACCTATGGTGAATATTAGTTTTTATCGGACTAGATTCTCCTCTTTCTTTTTTGGTAGTATACATGATTTCTTTCTCTCCCCCACTGGCTTAGGCAAGGGGGGCAAATCAGTATTCTGTTTCCCTGGCCAGGGATGAAAATATTCTTTAGACTTGGCCCATCCTGGTATTTCATTGTCCTGGACACAGCAACTGACTCAAGGTTGGGCATATTTAACCTAAACTGAGCCAATAGAAGTCTTTTCTTGGTGTTTTCTATATAGATGCAGAATGAGAGACTCTATTTTGGAGTTACTAAATGAGACCAGTTACTAGATAGGACCAGTTTAACTTTGAAGCTCTTTGTAGCCACGCCTCCACATCTCACATTTCCTGACCCTCTCCTACTAACTTATTACCGCCAAATGGAGAAAGCCCATCTGCAAGAGAATGAGGTCAACATACGTAAAATGAAAGAGCTGAGAGATGGAGGGGAAATGTTGACTGTATCATCTGAGTCAACAGGGTCAGCATACATGTGTGCTTCATAATTATGAGAGCTAATATGTATATATTTTCTAAAATGCTGGACCATAACAAATGTCATAGCATCAGAAGGGAAGTGAGTGTGAGTATTTGCAGACCTGAACACATATTTTTATATTTGTGTGTTTAGTGAAAGCTGTCTATCTGTGACAAGTAGGATAGAAAGGGGAGACTAATATTTGCAAACTCTATATTCTAAACTGAGTTACGGGAGCTCTTTCATCTTAACTGCTTAAAAATATTACAGTTTCTGTAAGTAGCTACTGACTTTAATCCCTTGGGGAAAAGTTTGAATATGCTATAGGTCTCTTGACATGATAATATGAGCTAAACAAGCCAGAACATTTGCAAAGTGCTATACATTTGCCAGTTTCTTTTGATGGTTATTTTTAAGGTCAAAGTACTTGGTATATTTTAATGAACAGTCTAAATGATTTTGGAATAGCAATGAAAATGGTACATGAGGAAAATAAAATGATAATCATGTTGATGCCATTTTTAAAATAGCTTATAATAGAATTTGCATGTTTAAAAGACCTGGATGCAGTTTTAAAAAGTCAAGTGATGAACAAAATCATAAGACAAAGAAAACTTGTAGAATTCAATTATAAAATGTTGTTGGAATTTACAGACACTCTGGGCATCATGTGATGAGTTACCTTGCAACTTTGAAATGCTGAATCTTTGAGTGAAGCACGTGAGCTAGAAAACAAAAGCAGTAGAGTCAGGTCTTCCCTCTTTTGCTTTTTATTCAGTTAAGTTTTTAGGAAATGAAAAGGGCTCTACTCTTTATCCACTGACTTTCAACTCTGACCTCAAAATGTAAAAAATTTCCCTTTCCCTTATACTGTGTCTTCTTCCTCTGCCAGGATATATGGCCTTCAATGAAGGTGATCTTAGGAGTTGTAACTATAGACTCTGTGTAAATTATTATTTTATTGCCTCTCAGCTGAAAACACATACTCTCTTGCCTATTTTGTGATAATAAAGTTGGACCTTCAGTTTTTATTCTTGTTTAGCTGGTAGGAGTTAGACTTTGCTGAAAGAAGACACTAGAAGGAGACAGCAACACTAAGACAGGGTGAAGAGATTTCTCTAGTTTTTGTTTTTATTGAGTGGTAACAAGCCTCAGGATGCTACGAATTCTGGAGGTGGCAGTGGCTTGCATGATTCTGTGGTGGTGAGTGGTCTTCAGCAAGTTTCTTCTTGATCAGAGCAGTGGGTATCATTTCTTCAGTAGCTCATTATTTCCATAGAATTCTGTCTCAACCTTAAATGGGGACCATCTCTTCTAAGTTTCTAAGACTTTCTTTGTTACATTTTTATCAGCTCTAGGAATATGTATTAATTTTCTACTGCCCCAAACAAATTACTGACAATGCAGCATCTTAATATTTATTTATTATCTCACAGTGTCCAGAGGGTAGGAACCTGGGCATAATTTAGCTGGATTTTCTGCTGTGGGTCTCAGTAGGCTACAATCAGCTGTCAGCTGGGATGCGTTCTCACCTGGAGACTTCACTGAGGAAGAATAATTTTCCAAGCTCATTCAAGATTTTTTTTAGGATTTGTTTCCTTGTGGCTGCATGACTCAGGGTCCCAGTATCCTACTTAATGCTGGTTGGAGGCCATCCTCAGGTCCTAGAGGTCAACAGCACTCCTTTGACATGTGGCCCTTCCCATAGGCTGTTCACAAATGGCTATTTGCTGCTTCAAGACCAGAAGAGAAGTCTCTTGCTATAGTCTGTTAAGATGAAATTTTACATAGCATAACATAATCAAATGTGTTACATCTCTGTTTTCCATGTAATATTGGTTAGAAGCAAGTCATTGGTTTTACCTATACTCAAGAAGAGTGGATGAAACAAGGGTAATAACTCTTTGGGGGTCAACTTAAAGTCTGTTTGCCACTGAGTGGTAGCTGCTTCCTGAAGATGCTGTCTCTAAAGCACTATAGTGTTTTGTTAACCCCTTTTAGTTGTTGGCCAACTTTTATCAAGTTCTTTATATTAAGTTTTACCTGTTGAAATGACTAGCATGGTTTCTGTCTCATGATGAGATCCTGAAAGATAAAAACTCTATCCTGGGCATGTCCGTAGTATCACCTAGTATATCAATAGGCTCACTCAGAGAACTAAGATATTTCTATTAATGAAGTCCCAGAACCCCGGCTTGCCCTCAGGAGAAGAGCTGAATACAATACTGATGGAGTCAGAACTGCAGAAATATCAGGATGAAATTGCATGAATTCTTGACATTTATCTGATGTGATATAATATTGAGCTAATTTCTGGTAACTGAGATATCCTTGTGCCAGCTTTCATTTTCCTTTTTTCCTGGAGGGCAAGCAGGAGTTAGTTGGGGGTTCCAGAGGGCATACGCCTTTACAGTGTGATAAATTAGTTGGCTATTAAACTAAATGTTTCTTGACTTTCAAAATGAGAACATTAGGATGGTCCTTTAACATATTTATTTGCCTTGCTGGGAAGGTAGTCAAGGTCTGCTGGATTTGTGATGTGCTAAATGAATGTTTAGCTGAGGTGCTCAGGTGGTTTTATTGGTAAGGTTAGCTACAAAAATGAAGGCGTGAGGTTATTGGAGGACAACATGACATCCATTAAATTAAATACCTATTAAATTTTCTGAATGGTGGAAAAGAATTCTTCAAAGCCAAGAGGGAATGAAGCATTCCAAAAAGTGAAGCAACCTGATACTTAGTTTAAGCAAGTTTTCCTTCTATTGGTAAGATTTCTTTTGACACTATTTCAGGATGTTTTTGCAGCAGTTGCAAACGGCTTGTAGATGCTGATGAAAATAAAACAAAGATGAAGGAGAGGGAAATAACTAGGCTATTTCAGATACTAGAAGCTGATATCATCATTTCTTTTCTTACTTTTTAAACTTGCTGTGGTTTTGTCAGAGTGGTGTACATCAATCCTGCTTTTCATTTTTCCTTTACGCCTATTATACAGACTTTCAAAAGCAAAGTCTTATGAGGTTAATTAAAGAATAAGTCAGTCAAAATGCATCAAAAGAGGCCTAAAACACTATTCAGATGTACTTCCTTTTTGAAGAATATTTATGTGTTAAAGATGGTAAGATGATTATAAGCCATATTCAACAACTGAGCCATATTAACTCTTTAGAGAAATGGTTTAATTATCTTTGACTATGGACAAAACAATAAAGTGCTAGCATAAGGAACTGATCTTGAACTATGACCTTTAGATCATGGATAATCAAGTAACTCACTTTTCACTTTATAACAGTAGATTCTTTTCTACTGAAAATATTTCAAAGCAACAGTGAGTTCAAGGGAACATCTTATATCAGTATAACTTATGTACATGATTGTTCCTCTGATTTTTTTCTACTAATGATTATGAATTACAAATAAATGGTGAATGAACTGTAAAAATATTTTAAAGAGAATATGAATCAGAAAGCAGAATCTGCATGGCATTATTTGATCTAATCAAAAAAGATGCATAGAAGTTCTTTGGGACAGTGAGATTTCTTCCATAGTCTGAACTTCCTATCCAGAGAAGAAATCTATTGACTTAAAAAAAAATAAGCTTATTGTCCAGAACCATATTAAAGAGCCTAATACTGCTAACCCTGCTGGTAATTTAAATAGGAATTTCTAGTGCTGGTCAATTAGCTCAAAGTGAACATTTTAAACCTAGGTCCTTTGCTTACATATATTATAGGGTGTGATAGGCAGGCCAGTATTAAGGTTCATTTATCAGTATGGGCTTCTCTATCCCTCATGTATCTCCTGTCCATCTATGGTTTTTAAATTGGCCTTATGAGATCACTGAGAAGAAAGAAAATTCTTTTACCATTGGAATTCAGATGTATAAAATGGATTTGTGGGGTTTGTTATAGAGTTGATAAAAGCTAAATTACTGAGACACTAGTGAGAAAAAGTTTTCCATAGGAAGAGGAGGAATTCTGACCTAGGCTGCTGTGCTCAGCTGCAGGGCTCAAGTACATAGTTGTTTGGTAGATGACATGGTAGCTGATACTAAAACCACTACTTACCTTGACATCCTGATGAGAATATGTGCTTTTGGAAGGAAAATAATAGCACGCATGAATTTAAACAGCGATTTCTGTAGCTTCTGCTTCATTTTAGGTCCCAAGTTACCTTGTGGGTCATCTCATTTTCCTCCCTCTCTCTCCCTTCTAATTTTGCATACACAGATGTAAGAACATTCTTCTTAATGTTCTGCAGGCATCAGGAGGACCTGCTGTTTTCTAGATAGTCCAGTTTTAAAATAGTATTGGTGGCTTAGCTATTGGAAGTAGAGTTCTGGCTTAAAAAACACTGAAGTAGCAAGAGAGGTAGACTTTAGGCTCAGAATCCACATGAGCAGTAAGTAAGAAGTATTCACTGTGACAACTGTATTAGACTTTCCTTGGTGATATCCACAAATACGTGGAGGACAGAGAGTCCACAAATAAATGGATTTGCTATTTGAGCATGGTGGCTTAGAGCATTAGATTTAGTTTCTTGATAATTTATCTTTCTATTTTTTTCTACTAAAAAACTAAAATTTAGTTTTTTAGTAGAAAGAACATTAAGATCTAAAATTTTAGTTTTTTAGTATTTAGATTTAAGTGTAACTGTCAATGAGACTTCAGTTACATCTGAAGCTTAGTTAAATCTGGAAGGTCTTAGGTAAAACTCTCAATAAAAAATCAGTTTAAAAGTCAGGAAAGGCCTAGAAAAATATTGTGAATGTCTTAATTTCTCAAAAACACATAGGATCATATGATATGTAAGATTTAATACAAAAATCATAATAAACATCCAGTGAAAAAATTAAGAGTATTTAACCAATGATCCAGAAACAACAAGCTACCACCCAAAAGGAAATAAAATAGATGTATTTTCCAGTATACACCAAAAAAGAAAAAAAGGATGGAAAGATAAGAATTTTTTTTTAAAAAGAATCTTGCAAAATATAATTCTAGAATCCTGCAAGGGTAAGAAAGTAGGTGAAAATCAAATCCAGGCTAGAAATCCAGATGCTAGAAAATAAAATTAGACAACTATGATTATCTAAAAAAGTAAAAATATTTGATTGACAATTTATACCCTAAGAAATGTTAAGGAATAAGAGAGGGCTCTAATAATAATTGCTTGTAATACTGATAACAGATGAAGGGTTTTTATTTATTTATAGAAAGGTCTAACAAATTGACAAGAAAATAAAAATAACCAAAAGAAGAAGTGGCAAACCCTTTCAATAAACAGTACAAAGATGTGCAGGTTTAAATGGCCAACAAAATATAAATAGTGTCAAATTCTCTAACAGTAAAACACAGGTTAAAGTGACAATGAACTATTATATCCATCAATCTAACTGATATTACAAATAACTCTGATGGAAAGAATTGGGGGATAGACCCCTGGCACCCTTTTACATTACTGATAGAAAGTGTTTCAACATTTTTGGCAGACAGTTTGGCAACATGTATTAAAATTTAATAATGCATACATCATTTAAACCACCAATTTCACAACTGGAAATCTAGTACATAGAAATAAATACACCAAATTTTAATGACATATGCATAAGGATATTGTTCCAGCTTTGTTCTGGTGACTAAGAATTGGAAGCAAAGTGTGTGACATCAAGAGCAGAATGGCTGAGTAACTAGTGAATAGCCACACTAGAGAATATTAGGCAATCTTTAAAAAGGTAAATTAGAATTGTACCAGTCATTCCATAATTGATAATCAGTGGTTTACATAGGATTATAAGAATACAGAGAAAAATAAAAAGGAATTAGATATTTAACATGGTTCCCTTTCAAGTGAGCAAGCACGTGGGGTAGGACGCTCTTGTGGAGGTAGGTAGAGAAGATAGGGAAGGTAGGTATGATAAAAATTGAATGCATGAGATACTATTAAAATATACAGTAGGGATATTAATATTCATGTGAATGCATATGCATATGTATACATATAAAGATACATGACTGAATGACCAACATGTAAGCAAATGAGGTGTTGCTCAGATTGGTGGAGACCGAATGACTTGATCTCTTCTTTATATTTGTATGTACTTTTGAATCATTTTTAGCAAACATTATTATTGACATAAAAAGTCTATTTTCACTGTGTGAAAAGGAAAATATAATCTGTTCAGATTTTTGAGCTATATGTATCATATTCTTAAATATGATTGAATTGGTCAGAGGAAGTCAACACAAAATACTTATATCAGAAGTGGCTTTTTATTTTCTACTTTGTATTTTTACTACTCATACTGCGTTTTTCAATGATGGTGATTTGATCTATACTCTGCAGGGGTTTTCATGCTCATTGGAGAAATAAAATGATAGTTTAAAGTAGAATGATAAAGGAACTGCTTATTTTAAGTAGATGTTGTATTTATTATTTGGGAAGTAATTGTAGCAAGCTTTGTCTGCATGATCCTGAGGGAATGTATTCTCTCCCCGGGTCCACAAGAGGGCGCAGTTTTGAAGGCAAGAACTTTCCAGTGCCAGAGATTGGAGGTCTTTGACCTCCCAGTGCGAGGGAAGATAGACCGCCTGGAAACAGAGATCAGTCACTCCAGCGGAAGGTTGAAGGAACTCCTCTCATAGGACAAAACCTTGAATGGGGCAGGAGTAACTCACAGGTTAAATTCCCCTGCACCTTTGCCTGCAGGGACTCCATGTTTCTCAGCGTGAGAGCTGTTTTTCACTTCTCTCTCTCCTCACTCCTCTCTCTCTTTCTCTCCCTCAAATGAATCACTTTTCTATAAAACTTTTTGGGTCCGATATTTACTCTAAGGACCTCATCCTCGCTGGCAGGGTCCACTCCCCCATTCTTGAGCGAAGTGTGAGACCCAAGAACCTCAGGCACACCTGATGGGGGAGGGAACAGGGCCGTTGTCCCTCCAGTAACATCTTCCTCTTTGGTAACAATCCTATGAAAATCAGAAATTATTAGCCTAACATCAGGCATACAAATATAAATTACAATTGTATTTATTAGGAAGTCTTATAAATTAAAAAGTTCTGGGCTTTTGACTGCCTTTGTTAATAAAAATAGAAATGGAGAAATGGAAAAACATTTACATGCTAGTGACCACAGAAGTTCAGTATTCAACGAGCTGGTGTCAAAATGGTGTTTTGGGATTAAACCGTATGTACTTTAAAGAGTAGCTATAATATGATCAAACATTCAAATGTCTTCAATTATCTCTATTGTTAGCTTTTGTTATTGCTGTTGTTTTTCCTCTAACCTGTATTTTTTCTGATGGATATGTCTGCTTCCTACATATATCTGCTCCCATGCCCCATAGCTACTTCAAATTTATCACGTCTGAAAGTGGACATATTTCCTTCTCTCCTAATTTTTTTCTGATGTATTCCTTATCTCCACAAATGATCCACTCCCACGTGTTGCTCAAATCAGAAACCTGGAAGTCATCTTATATGTTGTTTTTTCAATCGCCAGGCAGTTGCCAAACAAGAAAATTCTATTGCCTTAAATTATTTAAAAAAAAATTTTTTTTTTCTTTTTTTTTTTTTTTTTTTGAGACAGAGCCTTGCCCTGTTTCCCAGACTGGAGTGCAGCGGTGCAATCTCAGATCACTACAACCTCCACCTCCCAGGTTCAAGTGATTTTTGTGCCTCAGCCTCCTGAATAGTTGTGATTACAAGCATATGCCACCATGTCTGGCTAATTTTTGTATTTTTAGCAGAGACAGGATTTCATCATGTTGGCCAGGTTGGCCTCAAACTCCTGACCTCAGTTAATCCCCCACCTTGGCTCTTAAAGTGCTGTGATTACAGGGATGAGCCACAGTGCCTGGCCTATTGCTTTAAATTCTTAAAAAAAATATATTTTGCCTGCTCTTTCCCAAAACCATTGCTTTGGTCCCCTCTGCAGTTCTAATGTTCAGGCCTGACTCTAGTCTGAACCCCTGTAAATCCTTCACAATACCTCCAATGTATTGCCACATTAAATAATAAAATCTGGAATGTCTAGATGCTGAATTTAAGATTAGACTAAAACTCCAGATTAACGCCTAGTCTTATATCATGTCTATTCTCCTGTGGGTGCAGCCTACAGGAAGCCCTGGAAGAGCTTTGAACATGCAGGGTTATTCCTTGTTTCTCTCTGCCCAACCAACATCTCTTTCTTTCAAAGGACAGTTCAAGCAGTGATCTTGATGCCTTTCAGTGTCCTGCATTATTTTCAATTCTCCTTCTCTGTGTGTTCAGAGTGCCTTGTGAAAACCTCTATTGGAGAACTTGTGGAACAGATTGTAATAGCCAGTTAGAGGATGGGAATGGTAACTTTTATGGATTATGTCTAAATATAGTACCTGAAACATGGTAAGTGCTAAAAAGTATTGTCTAGTTTGAAGAGAAATCAGAACTGTGACCTTGGGATTTTTCTCTGGAAGGGATAGAGAATCAATATCCTGTGTCCTGTTTCCAATTTCCTACTTTAAAGGGGCTGGTAGTGGACTATTGATGAGAAAGGAAATAACAGACACTTTGACCTTAACTGAATGTTAAGCATACTTAAGAATTGGATTGGGAACTTATGAAGCTTGAAGAAAAATTAATTTCGAATAATTTTTTGTTTTCATAAACTTGAATATGGTGGGTAGATGTCTTTTTTGGTATATAAAATCTATGCCTTTTTGTTTATGAATTATCTTTATAAAGGGTAGATTTTTCCATTAACAAAGCTCAGAAATGATATTCATGGTGTTTCCATAAAATGACCTCTTTAGACCAGGCTTTAGTAATTTGAACATTATAAGAAAGGAGGAGGTGGGGTCTCCTTTGCGAGTATCACTTCACTCTACATGTTAGAATTACTGTGCTCCCTAGAAAACTAAAGAAAAAAATCTAAACCTGGACTGGCACCCAACTTTACCATCTATCCTCATTATTAATTGGTTTGGAAATGTCGTAAGATTTGCCATTCAATGTTAGCTTATAGACGTCTACATTTTTTAAATTACATATCTCAGTAAAGATAATTTAAAATTATTTTCTAAAGTATTGGTTTCCTAGCTTGGAAAAGAAAGAGAAATCACAAAATCATCTTAACCCATAGGATTTTATTAGGATTTTTTTTTTTTTCTGCCAGATGATACCCTCTTTTGCACAAGAATCCTAGGATAGGATTCTCCTGCAATGCTTTCTTCCATGGGACAGAAAGTCTCGATAGTCGAGGCAAAAAACTAGCCCAAGCGCTATTTCTCAGTTCTTCCTTGGGGTTGATATCTATGGCTGTTTATCTGGGTACTATGGAAGTTAACAGTCTCTTTCTCTGAAGGTGATTTTTCTCTACCCACTTTCTTGTGTCACTAAATTTAAAATCTACCTGGGATTAGATTAAAACTAGGTTTCCCTTCAGGCACAGAGAACAAAATATGTTGGTAAATCCTGTCTTCCACAAAAGCAGAATTTTATTCACATAATTTGTTGTGTTTTCTGTATACGTAGATCTTATTTGTTGAGTGCAGAACCTATCTGTGACAGTCTTCATAGCAATGCTATTGGAAGATGCTTTTTATCACTTCAATGCCTAGTCAAAATCTAACAAACTGTATTCAGAGTTTAAAAGGGGCTCTTTTTTTCTTTATTAACATTTTATTATTTTTTTATTAACTTCTGGGGTACATGTACAGATTGTGCAGGATTGTTACATAGGTATACACATGCCATGGTGGTTTGCTGCATCCATCTCCCATCATCTACGTTAGGTATTTATCTTAATATTATCCCTCCCCAATCCCCCACCCCATGCTATCCCTCCCCTAGTCCCCCCACCTCCCAACAAGCACCAGTGTGTGATGTTCTCCTCCCTCTGTCCATGTGTTCTCAATTTTAAACAGCCATTTTTGAGTGAGAACATGTGGTATTTGGTTTTCTGTTCTTGTGTCAGTTTGCTGAGAATGATGGTTTCCAGCTTCATCCATGACCCTGCAAAGGACATGAACTCATCTTTAAAAGAGGCTCTTTTTAAGCAGACAGTATGTGTGTTTGGACTTACTTGGCAGGAAAATCAAAAGAAAACTAAAGATTGCTAAAAATTAAAGTTAGTTAGAGCTTGAAAGTACACTAGAATTTATAGGTAAAATTCTGCAGTAAGAAAGAATGTTAAAATAAGCAAAAGCCAAATATCTGCAGAGTGATTCTTAGGAGGAGTGGCTCTAAAGGACAAATTCAAGGACATCTACCACTTCAAGCTCTTGTTTCACAAGGAACAAAGTAATTGCTTTGCCACTGCAACTAATTGATTCAAATATTTTATTGAGACTAATTATTAGCTATGAAAATATATGCTGTAATTTAAAGATACTTTTTTCTTTGTGAACAAATACTTATAAAATAAATTCATTTTTATTTGTTTTTGTAGATTTTATCAGCCAACAATTTAGTAACCTAATAGTAACTTTTCTTCACCTTTTCAAAGCAGATGATCTTTATCTGTTTCTTCCTGCTGAAGGTTTTGTGTCTTATAGAATGATGTTTATATTAACTTTTGATTTTTTTCTTCTAGATAGAGGTAGCTACACTCTATTCCTGGCTTCTCCACACCTACTCCTTTAATTTCTTCTATCATGGGATGAGAGAGTGACTTAACCAATCAGTACATTTAGGAAGAGTAGACTGGGTGTGCATAGCCCACCTCCCCTCTTCTTTGTTTTACCAGCAAGCTCCCTACAGGAAGCAGATTTTATTCATTTCCAAGGATGGGCAATGTTAGAGTGACAAATGAGGGAGAATGTGCACATCTTCCCCTATCTGGGGCTAACAGACCTAAACTCACATTCTGTAATAGTAATAAAAAGGGTATCTTGGCCTCAGTCTGTACTTTTTTTTCCTTCTTCAGTTTGTTCAGAACCTAGGTGGGAAGAGGGGTACTCTGCCCCCTCTTTATTCGATCTTCTCATGGAATGCTAATATTGGTTCATGGACCAGGCATATGGAGAATGAAAAGTAGAATTTCTTGAACAAAATATTTATTTGTAGATGCTTGGCTTAAGATCTAAGGCTTTGGGCTTTAGTGTAGGGACAAGGCATTTGACATTGGTGGTTTATAGAATTTTCTATTAGATCCTTGGAGGGAAACTCTATTGACTTTCATCTGCTGTGACCTGGATGAAGGTTTCAATCTAGCTGCGCGACAGCTTGCCCAGCATGGGTAACTGTAACTTTCAGTAGCTTGGCCTCTGGCTGAGGGGCTGTGTTTTACATTGTTAGGCAGATTCTATGTAGGCAATGAGGAAGCTGAGTGAATGGCCTCATCAGAGAAAAATGGGAGGCTGTGAAAGTAACTCAGGGAACCACCAAGGCTTTAGTAAGAAGACAGCTAAGGCACAGATTAAATTACAGGCAACACATAACCTCAGGGGAAGCGCTACTTTCACTGCACTGCTGCAGCTTTTCCAGGGCAATGATTCAACAGTAAGAAAAAGTGATTTTACAGGTCTTTAAGGCATTTGTGAACTGAAAAATATTTCCTTTTTTTTTTTTTTTTTAATAAGCAAAGGAACTGAATTGAGTCCGGTAGGAGATATTAGAAAGATTATTGGTTAAAATGATTAGTATCAGGCCTACAAATAGCACTTGCTTCACTGTACTAAATTCCATTCTACATTCAGAGCCAAGCGGGTGTCTGTCCAGTTGCCAAATTGAAGCTAAACTTGCATCCATGTGGCTTTTACATAAGGGTTATTTCCTGGCCATATGGACTCAAGTTAGCATTAGATTAATTATAAGTGTAGGAAAAGTTTTCCCTAAGAGGTACAATTTGTACACCTAAGCCATTCAGCAGCAAGTGGTGATAAAAATAGCCACCGTGACTCAGGACTGAAAAATCAGTTTACCGGAGAGTATGAATGAATGCTATGTCACTGTGTAGAGATACATTTGCTTTTATATTCAAAGGCAGGAAACAGGGCTCAAAGAAATATGCACTAAGAGATTAGGCAGAAATTGTAAATGCATAGTTCCAAAACTATCTTTTTCCTGTGTAATTTAACCCAATTGAGTTTATAAATCTGAGATTATGGACTTTAAAACAAAGATTTTTCTTTCCACAGACAATACTGAGTTTTGTCATGGTTTTTGGAAATATTAAGAATTTAAGAAACTGAGTTTGCTTTGTCTTCTCTGATTTTGGAAGGAAAATACTCTTTTGCCACTAAGAATTATATTATCTATAAATTTTCAGTCTACAGGGGGTTGAGGAAGTTTCTTTTATCCAAGTTTGCAAAAAAAAAAAAAAAATTAATTGTGAATGGGCATTGAATTTTGTCACATTTTTCACACATTTTTGTTTATATGTTTTCTTTCATCTGTCAATGTGGTGATTGACATTGATGTTTGAATGTTGAGTAAGTGTTGCGTTATTCTTTTAATACATTGATGATTTTAATTTACTATTATTTTGATGAGGATCTTTTTGTGTGTTCCTGTTAATCAGTATACTGGTGTATAATTTTCCTTCTTTTTGTTTGTCTTCTTTTGATTTTAGAATAAAATGAGTTGGGAAGTAGTCACTCTGCTTCAACTTTAAAAAAGTGCTTGTAGAATTAATACTATTTCCTTCTTAAATGTTTTATATTTAATCAAAGGCATTATTAATCAAAGGCATGTTTTTTCCCCGAAATTCTTTGTAGGAAGGTTTTGAACTACAAATTTATCTCATAGGAATAGGACTATTCAAGTTTTCTGTTTCCTCGTAAATGTGCTTTTGTAGTTTTTGTCTTTCAGGTAATTTGTTATTGCATCCAGTTTGTCTAACTTACTGGCAAATGTTGTTTATTCTTATTTTCTTTTAATGTTTGTAGAGTTCCCAGTCCTGTTTTCTACTTTATTAAGGTGGAAGCTTAGATGATTGATTTGTAGCTTCTCTATATCTTATTTTCTGTCTTTCCAATGTCAGTATTTAATGCTATAAGTTTCCCACTAAGAACTTCTTTAACTGCATCCTGAAAATGTTGATATGTTATGTTTTCTTATAATTCAGGTTAAAGCTTCTAAATTTCCCTTGAAGTTTCCTATATTGTTCATGGGTTATTTATAATTGAATTAATTTTTAAATATTTGGGCATTTTCCAGGCATTTTTCTGCTGTGATTTCTTGTTTAACTTTATTATGATCAGAGAACATACTTTCTATAATTTAAATTCTTTTAAATAAAAAGTTAGAATATGGTCTAACCTGATATAAGTACATTTATGTATTGTGTTGGATTGAGTTTTCTGTAAATGTTAATTGGGTCAAGTTGGTTGACTCTTTTTCAAACCTTCTTTAATCTTACTGATTTTCTGTCTGCTTATTCTGTCAATTACTAAGAGAGGAGTATTAATGTATCCAAAAATAATTGTCAATTTTTCCATTTCTCCTTTTGATCATATAATTTTTGCTGAATGTATTTTGAAGTTCTGTTAAATGCATGCACTGTTAAGATGGTTATGTCTTCTTGGTGAATGGTCCTTTCATTGCTGTGAAATGTCCCTCTAAATTCCTCATTCTATTTCTTGTTCAGAAGTCTACTTTTGCTAATATTAATACAGCTGCCTCAGCTTTCTTGATCTGTGTTTTCATGTTTTCTATATATTTGCTTCTTATGTATTTTCAAGTTTTTCATTCTTTTAGTCTATCTATATGTTTAAAAGTTGATCCATTGTCCTTTTGTTTCTGGTTTCCAGCAGTTAAAAAATGACATATCTAAGTGTGTGCCTTTTGATATATATCCTGTTCCTTGTTTGCTGAACTTCTTTGGTGTCTTATATTAATTTTGAAAATTCTTAGCCATTATTTATTCAAACATTTCTTTTGCCTCTTACTGCTCCTGGCATTCTAATTATACACACATTATACCATTTGATTTTGACCCCCAGCTTTCAGATGCTCTATTCTTTTGTTTTGTTTGCTTGTTTGCTTTTTTCTGTTTTTTTTCATTCTTCTTGTTTTGACTTAGATTATTTTGTTTGAACTCTCTTCATGTTTATTAGTTCTTTCTTTGACTGTGTTGAGTCCACTGATAAGCCCATCAGAGGGATTCTTTTTCTCTATTGTTGTGCTTTTCATTTCAGACATTTCCATTTGATTATTTATTATCATTTCGATCTCTGCTAAAATGATCCCCTGGTCTTACATGTT